CGTCCAAGAGGAGAGTACGCAATGATAGGGATACCGAGCTCTGCGCACGTCGCCGCGACACCGTTCTCCAGAATATCGGTCGCCCAGAGCGAGAACTCTACCTCGACGGCGGAGATGGGGTGCACAGCATGCGCCTTGCGGATGGACTGCGCGCCGACTTCAGACAAGCTGATGCCTCCGAGCTTGCCTTCTTTGACATACTCTGCGATGTAGCCGACAGTGTCTGCGATGGGTGTCTTGGGGTCGACTCTGGCGCACTCGAACAGATCAAGGCTCTTCTTGCCATCCAGCACCTTCAAGCACTCATCGATGCTGCGCCTGACGTTCTCCCGACTGCCATCGGGCGCCATCTCACCCTTCTTAAGACCTCCTTTGATAGACAAAACGACCTTCTCTGCGTCGCCGGGGTACTTGGTGAAGTACTCGTTGAGCAGATGTAGAGAGTTGCGCTCCGGGGATCCGTAGAGCTCGCCGCCGTTCCAGTTGTTCGCGCCGAGTGAGAGTGCTGTGCGCATAGCTTCGTAGCTCTGTTCGGCTGGTGGTGGGTTCTTGCGCCATGTCAGACCTGCGATGTGTTAGCGAAGCGATTGCGAGGTAGGTAATGATGCATACCCATGAGGCCGTAGCCAACAGGGCCTACAGTCTTTCCGACAAGTTCAGGCATCTTCGGTGCTTCTTTGAAGTTTTGAGACTGGTAGTGGGGTAGATAGAAATCCGGCAAATTTATCACTCTAGTACCTCAATGGATCGTGTCGCTGTTGGTATCGTGTAATGTCCTGTCCACCGTTCTGCCACCGAGTCTTTATATCGCGTCGGTAGTCTTCTCGGGCCCGAAGTCATTTTTATGTAACTGGATGTTGATGACGCGGGCTCCACATTCTACCTGCATCTGCCGGGACCATTGACATCTTAACTCCGTTCGGCCAATCAGGCTCGGGTGTGGCGGAAGAAGATGGACTTTACCATGATAGCTCCAGCGGAATGTTCGCGCGGTGTATGCTACTTGGGGGGATTTGAGACTGCAAAGGAGGGCGAGTTGGTAAGCTGGAGTTATGGGATGGCATCGGGACCAAAGGTGGATGAGCTGCGAGGTACTTGTGGTTCGTACATGGATAGGAGTGTGAAGAACCCTTTTAGCGTTCATGGTAGCTTCTAGCAAGGCGCTTGCAGATGTGAGATTGCATGTACATTTTGAGTGAAATCTGAATGCTCCCAGGTACACACTGAATAGACAATTGTCCTCGCATCACGCATCCACCTCTAGGACGCTATACAACAGCACTGGTACAATACAAAGCCAATCAACCCACTCCCTCATCCCCCAACACACATTCCACTCCCAGCATCCTCACTTCATCTTCTTCCCCTCCACCCCCGTCCTCTCAACCCCATCCAAATCCCTCAAAACCTCCCTAACCGGCCACACAAACCCCTCTTCCACCCTCCCCGTCTCCCCCTCCTCAATCGTAACAAGATACTCCACCAGCGCCATACCCACATACGCGCCAATCGCCGTAAAAATATGCCACCACCCATGTAGTTCGAACAAGAAACCCCAGGGAAGTCCCACCCATCTCTTGAAGACTGTGACGTAGTAACAAGCGTGGAAATCAATGTTCCACAAGAAGTATCCAAACAGACCGGTGGAGATACCAAAGGTAGCCATCCTCCCGAGTTTCTTGCGTGCTTCTTCGGACGTGATTTGCACTTTAATAAGCGCGCGCGTGTACTTACTCACCAAGAAAATCATGACCGCAAACGCAATCTCATGTAGAATGATCTCATCGGCCCAGACGTGGTACACAGATACTGGAATCAGGCTTCCTAGGATATACGCCGTGTACTTCCTCCTCTCATTCACCGTAGCTTTGAAACACAGCAGCTGGTGCAAGATGGCGCCGACGGCCAGGAACATGGATAGGTCGTCGCCCATTTGCGAATGGTATTTTAGGGTTGCGTGGAACCACGCAGAGAGGAGGCCGACGGAAATCAGGCCCCAGTAGGGGAAGGCGAGGGTGGAGATGAGGCCCCCGGTTGGTTTGGGGGCGACGCGGCGGAGGCCGTGGAGGCCGTAGATTACTGGGGAAGTGAGTATGGATTGAGAGGTGAGGTGGCTTTGGTAAGGGCGGACCGTAGGTGATGTTTGTGAGGGTGTTTATGAATTCGCCGATGTAGGGCGTTATTATGTAGTCCTAAAGTTCAATTAACTTCCGAGATGCATATTGATCCTCTGGCTGATCTCGCGTACCTCTTCACAGAAACTACCCCAAGTCAGCCATGTCCAATTCATCATGCGTGCAACTCACTTGTGATTCGACGTCTTTGGCTCCCACGCCCCGACGATATACTCGTTGGGGCTGGGGTACTCCCATCGCCACTGCATTTTCAATTGCGAAGGCTACGCGTCGGACGATTGATTCGACGTGTTGAGGTGAGGTGACGTTGTTGTTTCCAAGGTTTCGTGGTTTTCTACTTGCAGCAGGAGGGTTCGCGCTATGACCCCTGATCACGGTTCCACTTTGCACGCTACGGAAGAGACCATACGAAGACGCGTGGAAAAGCAAACAAACACAAGGAGAATACAGTAGAAGTTCTTCGAGAATAAGGATTAAAAGTTGAGTTGCGAAAGAGTTCTGAAGTTGAACTACAGAACCTCTGAGCACGGCAAACTTACATGGCAATTAAAAAAATCCTTCTTCTCTATACAACTTTGGAAACATGCCTTAGAACAGTTCTAGGAGTTGAAGGCGTAATTGTAGAAGTGTTTTAGGCGCGGGCTACGTCTTGCAGAGTAGCTATTCAAGGTCCTTGTGCGGCAGACCTCAAGGCAAAAAGAATCGTTCCTTGCACGTACGCGTAGCAGTGTCTTGCTATGACTGCTGGGAGTGCAAAAAATGGGTCTTACCGCGACTCGAACGCGGGGCCTCTCGCAAGCTATGCTTGGGTTTGCAAGTATCCGAAGATGCTTTCCCTAAGCTGGAGCGATGTTAGTATGTGTGTTATACGCATTTCGTGCAGTCTGAACTTACCGAGAATCATACCACTAGACCTGGTATTTGTTAGATGGTGCTCATGGTGATCAGGTCGTATGACGGCTTACCATAAGACCGAAAAGCAACTGCTGTGAAGCTGTTGTTCTTGTTGATGGAGAAATCTTCCAAATTGAAGTATATGAAGGCCATTGTTGAGTCACTCGTGTGGTGGGCCTCGTGCTTCCCACCAAATATTGTGGGGTTCTGACCATGGGAAGTGTGGAATTCATGCCAGTGACGGTTGACGTGGCCGAAATTAGCCGCAGGCTTAGGCGGACCCGGGGCGGCAGATTGTTGCTCGAACACCAAATCTTCGTTTGGGTACTGTCGCTATTACTGAATCCCAGAGGATCGCGATCGTCGAGTATAGCTGGTACGGTGTATCGAAGGAAAATCTAGTGAATTTGGAGGGTACCTAGGTAGGGAGCAAGTTTCCAGGCGACTTCTGCTTGATACGTCTCTCTCATTCTTTGCGATTCTTTGTTCGCGCAAAGCACTTGAACGCAGCCATGCTCTATCTAAAAACAACGATGAGAGATGGAGTTGGATTGTAACAATCTTGTATGAGGAACAGCGCGCTGATGGGATTCATAGTCAAAACCGAAAGTTGATGACGCAGACCATCTCCAGCATTACGCCTTCGCACGGGCTCATGTCTTCTCAAGTATGCGCCACACGTTCGGGAAGTATATCTTCCATCACACATATAGGTGTTGTATGCAGCAAGAAGGCCAAACATTATAGCGACCATTTTCTCGGATCATCTCACCGACTCGCGATTGCTGCAGTTTTTATCACGGCTACGATGCTCGCAGTGCTGAATATGTTGTCCATACGCACTCGAAACCTTTATTGATTAACGCGCACACTGTAGATTGGCTAGGTGTGTGAGCTTATAAGCCAGACCTGCAATCACGGCGCTGTGATCGAAGCAAGATTTGTACGCGTATTATGGCGAATGGCCTGACTTTCTGAGTCGTCCCGCTTCAACATTCCCATGTCGTGAGAATCCTGGTCGACGCGCAGGGCGACGCAATAGGTTAGCCCAAACGCGAACATCTGAAGGAAGAAAGCCCGATCATCGATGAGCAAGTCCGATGTTCGTCACGACTCCGATCATTAGAAGCCATCTCGGACGTGCGCCGATATCAGATGCGCCTAGGCATGCGACGAACGAGTGTCCTCACCAGAATTGCTTCCCACTGAACATCTCCTTGATCGCAAATCATTGCAGCCATTTCAAGGCGATGCGACTGCGATGCGTCGCCATTGATAGCATCGCGATGGTAAGGTAAAAGTCGGTAGAGCCAGCGTTGCCAAGCAGAGCAACGATCGCGCTTCGTCGTACGTTCTCACCACCCCTCAAGCGCATTCCTGCCCAATCACCCACGACAACAGTCGGAAGCACCACCTGCTCAGGAAACATCTCCAGTCACATGCAACATCATCCCTTCGAAGCAACCACCTTAGTCGGATCCCGGCAGTGTGCAAAAAGAGCCGCCGGTTCGGTTAAGATGCCACTGACGACATCCACACATGCACAACGCGGGTGAGGCGATCTCCACAACTCTCCGGGTCTGAGCGCGTCTTTCTCCACCTCCAGCCTAACCCCAGAATCGTTTTTCCACAAATCACATAAGCTCCGACACTGACTCGATCTCGCTTCTCTCCGATGGTCAAGACGGCAGGCTTCTCGGCATGCGGCCGCTATACTTGGGTCGGTAAATACATTTTAGCCATTTTACCTGGCTGTCCAGCTATGACCAACGAGTATGGAGTCTCCATGCGGAGCAAGGACTCGAGTGGAGACGGCTGCTTCAAGCGATATGATTGTCATGTCGAGCACAGCGGCGTGTAGTGCCGACTTTTTCGACCTTTATATTCGACCCTCCCCACGTCTGTGGATCGACAGGTCGAACGACTGCCATCTCTGCATCAACCCAAGGTTCTCGACAGGTCCCGGTCAAGATGTTTGAAAGGTTCCCTAAGATTTACAATGTCTACTTCTTGGCGATTGTTGCCACGATGGGAGGCATGCTCTTTGGTTTTGATATCTCTTCGATGAGTGCCATCATTCCGAGTGACCAATATCTGTAAGTCGCAGTGACGTCAAACACCTCACTTATTGATCCCTAATAACGAACAGCACCTACTTCGACAACCCAACCGGCGTCGTTCAGGGAGCTATTGGCGCGGCCCTTGCTGCGGGTTCAGTGGTTGGCAGTGCTATTGCTGGTCCTATCTCCGACAAGTTTGGTCGTCGCGATGCCCTTATGTTCGCCTGTCTTTGGTGGCTAGTCGGAACTGCGCTGCAGGTTGCTACAAATGGTCGCGGCATGCTTATCGCCGGTCGTGTATTGAATGGAGTCACTGTCGGTATCACTTCGTCTCAGGTTCCTGTCTACCTGGCCGAAATTTCCAAGCACTCGCAGCGTGGTGCCATCATTATCATTCAACAACTTGCTATTGAGTGGGGTATTCTTATCATGTAAGTACACCGAACACACGAAGTAAGCCCAAGCTAAAAGGTCGCAGGTACTTCATAGGTTACGGATGTACTTTCATCCCTGGCGAGTCAGCTTCATTCCGCACGGCCTGGGGAATTCAATACGTCCCCTGCGTCATGTTCATGATCGGTCTCCCATTCCTCCCAGAGTCTCCCCGATGGCTCGCGAAGGTCGACCGTACAGAAGAAGCAATCCACATCCTGGCCTCCATCCAAGCCGACGGCAACATCGAGGATCCCTACGTCATCGCCGAATACGAGGAGATCGTAACTGCTCTCACTGCAGAACGTTTAGCTCCCCAAGGATGGCGAAAGTTCGTCTACAACGGCATGTGGAAACGGACTCTTGCCGGTTTCTCCGTCCAGGCCTGGCAGCAGCTTTCGGGTGCTAATGTATGTTGAGCATACTTCGCGTGGTACCGTCCTGCTAACAGTTCTCAGGTCATGACTTACTACGTCGTATACATTTTCGCCATGGCTGGTCTTACAGGCAACACCAAGCTTATCTCCTCCGGTGTGCAGTACGCTTTGTTCATCGTCTTCTCGTCCATCATGTTCTTCTTCGTCGACAAGATCGGCCGGCGAACACTTCTGGTTTGGGGAGCCATTGCGATGGGCATATGCCATCTGGTCGTAGCTGGAATGCTCGGCGGGTTCTCCACGTATGTCCCTGAGGGTGTTGGTGGCGACGCGAATGTTGTCATGATGGTCACTGGATCGCCGGCGTACACCGTTATCGCGTTCTCGTATCTTTTGATTATCGTAAGTACCTCTACGAGCTGAACACGAACCACACTAATTCCGCATCTTAGTTCTACGCTCTTACCCTCGCACCCATCTGCTGGGTCTACGCCGCTGAGGTCTGGTCACTCGAAACCCGTGCTTCCGGAATGGGTATCGCAGCGATTGGAAACTGGCTTTTCAACTTCGCCATTGGATTGTTCATTCCACCCGCGTTTGTCAATATTAGATGGGGGCTCTTCCTCGTTTTCGGAATCCTCTGCTTCATGGCTGCCGTCCAGTTCTTCTTCACCTACCCCGAGGTAAGGAAATTCGAAATTCCTATGATGGCTCCGACTAATCCTTCAACCAGACTTGCGGTAAGACTCTTGAGGAGGTTGAGTTCCTATTTAGTAAAGAAGGCCCACACGCTTGGAAAACCAAGAAGGGCAGTGACAATCTCGCGCGCGACCTCGAAAACGTTGCTGCTGCGCAAGCTAAGGGAGAAGCGCTTGCCACCATCAACAATGTCGCCAAGAAGGAGAAGGGCGAGACTGAGACAACTGAGGCGGTCTAAGCAGGTTGGAATATGCGGTTGTCCGCACACATATCACCGGCAATGCCATATTGGGCTTGCTTTGAACGAATCCAGTTGTTACTTTGGACTCTCCAGCGCTTCGTTCTTGTTGAGATTACTGAGACATATAAACGAACTAATACAGCATTCCGTCACAGATCATTGCTATTCACATCATGCTACTAATTCCAATCCTCCCGCCAAACCCCCACCTTCTTCAAAAAGTCTACCTGCTTCCCCTTCGCAAATTCCATCGCCCAGTAATTCCCATCCCACCTCTCCCACGCGCCCTTCCAGCTCGTATCCAACCACCCTGTCTTCTCAACCGGATACAAAGACCCCATGCCGGATTTCCGCACCTGGTCCATGATATCGGTCGCAATAGTTCCACCCCTGGCTGTCGATCCGCGTGGTTTGACACTGGCCTTGAAGATCTCTACTTCTCGCGCTTCCTCAAGTTCTTGTTTATAGGATTCTAGTCTGGTTTCGCGCGCTTGGATCGCGGCGGGGAGGTGGCAGCGAGGGATAAGCGGAGGCCTCTTCACGCGTTCGAGCGGATGAGTCCAGTCCGAGATCGAAGAAGGTGATGTAGACGATGAGGTATCGCTATCAGGTGTGCGGCTACCAGAGGTACTAGGTGAACGGATAGGAAACGGTGCTTCTCGCATGAACGCTTGTTCCGTCTTTCCGATATGAACATCGCGGGCTTTGACGCTCTTCCTCAGTCTAACCACCGCGTCTTCCAAGCGTGTGTTGACGCCTTGTTCTCGCTTGTAGTCTCGTTTGAGTGCCTCCCTTACTTGGTCTGCTACTGAAAGCTTTTGTTGGAGGCCCTGGACTTCCCAGTGGGCGTGGTCTTTGACTTTCTGGTAGTAGTCTCGGATGTATCGGAAGTTCTCCAGCTGTTGCTCGGACATGTTGGCTTCGAATGCGAGACTGCATTGTTCGAATTGGGCCTTGTTTTCTTCGAGTTCTTCTTTCCAGGTCTTGGCCTCCAGTTTCAACTGGTCGTTCTTGGGGCGAAGCACTGCGAGCTCTTCTTGCGCCTCAGTGAGGTCTGACTGTAGTCTTTCATTCTCGGGCTGGAGTTGTAACAGCTGTTTCTTTGCTTTGGCGAGTTCCGACTCTGCATCACGGCGCTTCTTTTTTTCCCGTTCGTAGTACTGTTCCCATTCATTCTTACCCGTTTGCATGGGATGCGGACTTGGTAAACCGGGGCTCAGCAGTCCCTTCCTCTCGATCTCTATGGTCTTTCCCAAACTATTAATCTCGTATTCTTTCTCCGCGAGCTCACGATTCAAATCTTCGATCTGCTCCCGCAACTCTTTAAAGTTTCCATTGAAGTTTTTGATCAGTTTGAGGAACTCACCTCGCAGTTTACCTGTCTCATCATCTTGCGAAAGACTCAGAAATACAGCGTCGAGCTCTTTGGTCTCGCATTTTGAGATCATTGGCAAGTTTTCGGCCACTTGGTTGACAACTTCACAGAGGGTGCGGATAGACTCCTGGTTATTCTTTAGCTTCTCGTCCACCTCCCTCAATGAGTCATCAAATGACTTGCAGGCAGCAGTCGCATCTTCTGCCTCTGATTTCTTTGCCGCGAGTTCCAACCGCGTCCGCTCGACCGATGCTCGAAGTTTCTTGTTCTCCGCTTCGACTTCTTCAAGAGGAGGTAATCCAGGCTCGCGTGCGTTGCGCGCCGCGATCTTGGCTTCGCTTTCACGAAGTTGGATAGATAGCTTCTTGTACTCTTGCTTCAGGTTCGTCGCTTCTTCTTTGACGGTTTGCAACTCTTGTAGTACGGTCTCACGCTGTCTCATCGCCTCATCGCGCTCTTGTTCCACTTTTTGACGTTTGATTTGGAGCTCTTCTATCTCTGCAACGATCTCGGGCGGAACGATAGGTTTTTCCTCATTACCATGCGGCGATACGGTTTCAATCTGGTCTCGAGGTTCCGCGGCCTGGCTTATCAGATTCTCGACGTGATCTTCTTGTGACACTGCAGCCATATCATCTTCCGTCAAAGGTGATTCCCGCTCTTGCGGTGCCTGAACATCAGGACTGGGATCTTCATCTTGATGCTCCTGTGGCTCTTCCTGGGCCAACAGATCTTCTAAGTCATACGATTGCTTGTGTTCCTGTATGGTCAGCTCCTCTTCGGGCTCTGAGACCTTTTCTTGTGCTGGCCTTTCTAACTCTTCCTCTTCTGGCTTATTTTCCTCTAGATCCTCCTTCTCTAGCGGCTTTTCCAGCTTCTTCCCTTCCAGAACAGACGATGCTTCTTCTTCTTCCTCTGCGTTTCTCTCGTCTTCCACGTCGCTATCAAATTGACTAGAGTCGTCATCATCGACGTGTGCCTTGTCCTTATCTACCTCATCCTGATCCTGATCAACATTGTCATCAACATCATCGACCTCCTCCTCATCATCCTGCTCATCGTCAACATCATCTACCTCATCATCATCTCCATCCCGCGTGGGCGCACCAGTCCCCCACCGCTGACGACTCTGCGGTCTACTACCAAACCCAGGCGACGAATGCTGCCGCATCGCACTACCTGGCCGGCTAGTCGGCTCCCTCATCGACGTCGACCTCTTCCCATACTGAGCAAGTTCAATCTTCTCGTTCTTCTTCGCTTCAGATGCCCTGGTCGGGGCAGCAAACGATGATGCATTCGTTCGTGTTACGGGTCTGACTGTGCCTTGCTGCTCTTCATTGAAAGACTCCGGAGACGTAGCTTCGTGGTCAGGGGACGACATTTGTTTGGTCTCGTTCATAATGTGGGTTTCTGTCTGTCAGTCGCGTTTAATTTAGTACTGGTTACCTGAGCTGTGGTTGCTGGCACGTTTGCGCGATTCATATGATATTGCGATATAAATCATTGGTACAAACAAAACTTTCCCTCGGCTACATGAACGACTATTTTACATGCTTGTCTCATTGATTGATCACTCCATTGTCTCATCAGAGGTTTTGCATATCACAGTGTTCCTCGCGTCGTATCAACATGCCAATGTCTTGATGGCGTCGTGAATGCAGTGGTTTTATCTCAGCGACATAGTGAAATTTGACGAGACACTGTTTCGACTTTTCACGGAGGAAATGTGTACTCTCTTTGTCAACGTTGCTACTGTGAGAATTGCAAGCAATTGGTATCAGCATAAACGAAAGGTACTGGTTGTCGACCTCACAGCTGTGATTGAAGAATAGCCGCGGAACGAAGTATGCGTCGCATGACTGACACATTGTACTGCGAGGATACCCTGACCTTCTCGAGCACTAAGAACAGCCATCTCATATCGCGCGCATCCGCGCAGTGTGATGCAAAGTTAGATAGCGCAACGAACGTACGTTGGGCAGGAAGATGCGAGCTAATGCGAACATGCACTTTCGCCACCCCTACAGGATTCAGCATTTCCCACATCCAGGCTGGCAGCCGTTGTGGATGGGCGTCAACCAACGACTGGGGTAAGCGACAGGAGCGCAGCGTTAGTGACATCACGTGCTAGCGTGTACCGACTCCATGGGGTGGCGTAACACGATGCTAGCTGGTTGAGGAAAGACCCATGTCATCTTTAAGCCGCATCGGTTCAGCAAGGAGATAAGGTGAGTGGAGTGGTGAGCGACGCTGACGTTTTAGCCGAATGGAATGGAGAAGGATTCAGGCCTTGACGTGAAATGAGGGGTAGAGCAAGAGGCGAATGTCCAGGCTGACGGTGGCGCTCAGTCTACAACGACCTTAGTCCACCGTTGGAAAGCGATGATCGAGCGGAAGCCCCGATCTTGCACGTGTTGTTGTGTGACAAGTGCTGCCCTGATGCTGGTGCGCTACTCGTCACATACCTTACACCTACTTTAGCCGGCAAAACTACGCGAGATAAGCGCCTTCGCGCCAGAAGCGACAGAGGCGTCCCGTTACTGAGCGGCATGCTAGGATATTGCCTCGACGCCATAGATATATCGTAAGCTTTTGCCGGGAGCTTCGTCGACTGTGCCACTGTGCCGTGTCTTCTGATCATTCTGGAACGGGTAAGTTTTCATCAGGTACATTGAAGAATGTCAGGCAAATCGTGCGATACTTGCATGAGAGCCGGACCAAGCATCAATCGGTATATGGGTACCTCGCGGCATAGTTGCTGGATCGAACTGCGACCGTTGGCCTACTGCAAGAGCGCATACTAGCGTACCAGCGCCAGCTTCCTGGTGCCGGAGGCGTGTATACCTGAGGTGACTAGGCAGCTCCAGCGTGCAAGATGTCATGCAACTGCATCCTCAACGCGAGTGTGCCGGTGGCGCGGCACTTGTCGTGCTGTGAGCAGAAAAGGGCCGAAGCTTGAGCGTAGCTTGCTTCAAGCGCAATGATATTGGTGGTTTCGATCACACTATTGACGGAATTCCCGTGCCAGAAGCTCGTCCCATGGTAACAATGCTGGGAAGTGGGGTAGACCGCTCAACCGCCAAACCCTTCCAGCAAGATGGGGGCTGACATTGACTCTTAGCGTCCGCGGAATGGTAGCACAACATCTCTTGGTTTGCAGTTATTGCAAGGTACCGAGCGTTTTAGGTGTAGATAGTCGTTGTAAAAAGTGGAAAGAGGCGCGGGGAGGTCTGTGACCGAGAACATCCGGGTCGATGACGGGTAGAACCAGCGGATCCTATCTTTTTAGCCCGCCGACGGGATCACCGTATGGTAAATTGCGGAAATGGTTTCTTGCAATTGCGATAGCTGGCGAAGGTAACGGAGATATATCCTATCTAGGTAATACAGAAGTTGGGTCAGTGGAGGCAGACATTGACAGCTACGGCGTCGATCACACACACGTGCGCAGATGATGCTCTCGACACCTGTGACTACGAGTAGCTCGAGTCGACAATGCTGTACCCACCATGAATACCGATCATGTGTCCTGGTGTAGTCCTTCGCGATACTGCCAGAGCACCTTTGGCATGGTGATAGTCCGTTTGCGTTCATTTTTGGGTAGACCGGTCAGAGAAGCATG